TCCAGATCACTGACAACACCAAATGCTGGTGAGGATGTGCAGCAACAGGTGCTCTCATTCACTGCTGCTGAGAATGCAGAATGGTGCAGCCACTCTGGAAATTTCTTAGAAAATTAAATGCACTCTTACCATACGATCCAGCAATCACGCTCCTTGGTATTTACCCAAAGGACCTGAAAACTTACGTCCACACGAAAACCTGCACGTGGATATTTACAGCAGCTTTATTCCTAATTGCCAGACCTTGGAAGCAACCAAGATGTCCCTCAGTAGGTGAACGGATAAACTGTGGTCCATCCAGACAATGGAATATTATTCAGCACTAAAAACTATCAAGCCATGAAAAGACGTGGAGGAAACTTAAATGCATATTACTAAGCGAAAGAAGCCAGTCTGAAAAGGCTACATACTGTATGACTCCAACTATATGACATTCTGGAAAAGGCGCAACTATGGAGACAGTGAAAAGATGGGTGGTTGCCAGGGTTAGGGGGAGAGGAATGAACAGGAGGAGCACAGAGGACTTTTAGGGGAGGGACACTACTCCGTATGATAGTACAATGGTGGACACATGTTATACATCTGTCCAAATCCACAGAATGCACAACACCAAGAGTGATCTAGTGCAAACTGTGGACTCTGGGAGATGGTGGTGTGTCAGCGTAGGCTCATCAGTTGTAACAGATGCACCGCTCTGGTGGGGATGCTGACAATGGGGGAGGCTGTGCACGTGTAGGGGCAGGGGGAATACGGGAACTCTCTGTACTTTCTGGCTGATTTTGCCTTGAATCTAAAACTGCTCTAGAAACTAAAGTCTAGATAAAACAAAGAAAGTGCTATCAAGGGAAGTCTTACAGAAACACGAAGTCGAAGCACGGCAGTTGCTACCCAGTGGAGAGGGTGGGTGAAGGAGGCCCTGGAGTCGGGCTGAGGGTGGGCACCAGATGGGCCTCTGCGTGGACCCCGCGTCCAGTCAGCGAGCCTCAGGACTTCCAGCACCCATTGGGAAGGTCATGCTGAGCCCACCAGGCTTGGTCCCGCCTGGCCCTTGGGGGACTGAGGAGCGCTAACAAGGTTGGTGTCTTCTCTCCTGGAGCTCTCGGTCCATGTGGAGGACAGACAAGTGACGTGTGTGCACACAGGCATGCGCACACACATGTGCGTAGTTACAGACCATGAGCTCACGACAGCAGGCCAAGCACAGATAGTCCTCTGCAGGAAGACGCTGAAGCAAGGGGCTGAGGGATGAGGGGGGCTGGGCTTTCCAGGTGGAGGGATGATGGGTGGGGTGCTAAGAGGTGCCCACGAAGAGGACCAGACAGACGGGAAGGTGGGGTCCAGGAGGGCTTCTGAAAGGTGTCAACCCCCACCCCTGGTGGTGCTTGCAGGGGGAGGCCCAGGAAGGCGCCTACCCAGGCTGGGTCAAGGCTGGGAGCCTGCAGCCAGACCCCAGAAGACAGCTCTGCAGCACCCCTGGTGGTGAGCCGGACCCACGGGCATGCTCCCCAGCCAGGCCTCCTGGTCAAGGAGCCTCCTGGGCCCCACAACCCTCGGCCTTGCTGCAGGCACCGAGCACGCTACCCCTGCCTCCTGGCACCCCACCCTCCTGTCCTCAAACTCCCTGGCTGCCCCGCTGGGCCTCTGCACCAGCCACTCCTCCGTGTGGAATGTCCTTCACACACAGCCACCCACTCGCTCTGCCTCTCTCATCCTTGCTCAGAGGGCACCCTGTCCCTTCTGACCCCTGGTCCCACCCAGCGCCACCCACCCTCCTTCCCAGCACGTCCACATGCCCTCCACTGTCCTCGGCTCCATGGCTCACCTGCTCACATATTGGCCATCCCCCCAGGGCTCCGTGTGCACTGGGGTCACGTCCACCTGTCTCCTCCGACTCTGAAACAGCAAGGGGCATGCAGTAGGCACTCAACTGGTGTCACATGAACACCCCTGGATGTGGTCCGCTGGGGCCCCTCTCTGGGCTTCCCAACATCTCAGATTTGTTCCCAGAGTACAGGTTCTAGTGCTGGTCTCTCTGCCTACTCAAGTCCCAGCTCAGCCTTACCACGTGGGACGTCAAGGACAGCCTCCCAGGGCTGCTACAGGGCTAAACGGGCAGATCCAGTGCCGACGGGTTCCAGCACGGGGAAGCCCCATGAGGAGGCCAGTACTGTATTGCATCTCTGCACTGGGATTTCAGGAAGGAGGCGAGGCTCCCACGGTGGGCTTCTGTGAACTGGGCAATCAGATATTTCATCTGGAAAGAGTACAGGACGGACAACAAGGAAGTGTAGGCAGGGAGCCGTACAAATGCTAATGATCACATCAACACTTCTGGGGGGTGTTCCTGTAAGATCTCCCTGCCCTCGCTGGTCACCTGCCCTTGGGTGGGTTCACTGCAGGTGAAGTAGAGGTGACAGGAGGTGACACCCAGTCAGCCTGCCATTTCCCAAGCTCGGGCTCTATTTCTTGGGCTCTTATGTCCCATGGCACCTGAGCTCGCCCAAGCCAGGGGGTAAACCCCGAGTGGGCAGACGGTGCAGGTGGAGGGGGTTCCAGGCGGCACCGGCTCAGTTCCAAGGGCACCCTGGCTGCGCAGTGATCACTCACGGGCCGTTGCACCCCACTCTGCTCCACAGCACGTCCCCTGGCATTTTCAGAACAGACAAATCAAACTGTAGAGCACAAGGATTCACTAACATTCTTCCAGGTGAACCTCTGATCTAAACGTGAAGGCAAAACAATGATAACACAGATCACAGAGGATGACACAAGGAAATGCCTTCGTGATCTGGGGGAGGACGTTTTCTTCAACAGAACAACAGGAAAACACAAACCGTACAGGGTGATATATGGGCCAACACAGAAACTAGGAATCTCTGTGCATCAAGACGCCATGGAGAATGAAGACGAGTGGGAGGAAACGTGACCCATGTACCTGACACAGGACCTGGAACACATACAACGAGGAAGACAGACAACCCACAGGGACACGGCCCAAGACCCAAACAGACACTTTGCCAAAGGGGAAAAAATACACAAAAAGGTGATCGGCCTCAGTGGACATCAGCGAGATGCCAGAGAAAACCACGGGAAGGGCACCCACGCCCAGCAGGGCAGCGGGAAGGAAATGAAGGAGGCCTGACAGCTCCAGCACCAAGGAAGCTGGAGACCAGCCAGAACCCTCGCCACTGCTGGTGGGAGGAAACTGAGCACAAATACTCTGGAAAAAGTCCTTGATGTTCCCACTGACACTGACTGAGCCATCCCTGCACCCCAGAGTCCCACCCCAGGACACACTGGCAGAGTCCCGCACCAAGACACCTACAGGAATGTTCATAGACAGTGCTCGCCTGACCCATGTGGGGACATTTCCATAAAGGAGCCACACGCAAGGGCTCCCTGTGCATGGAGCCGAGACGTGCACCACCTCCCGTGCGGGCCTGGCTCTGGGGAAAGCGAGGGGCTGCTGTCTCTGTTGTTTCTGCATCGGAGCAGTGGTTCATTGTGAAAACTCACCAAGGTGCACACCTGTGCTTTGTTCACTCCTCCATGTGCACACGTGCACACGCACGTAAAAAGTGCTTCACTCGACAAGTTTCTTAGGAAGGTAACATTAACCTGGGTTGCCTGGCCACCAACAGGCCCTGCGAGGCCGTCTTTGGCTGCACAGGGCAGGGACAACCCTGGCCAGCACGGCTGGTGCCTGCGGGAATGCTGAGGGGCCCCTGCCCTGTGGCGCCCAACTGCAGTGGGGGAAAGACAGGCTGCCAGAGAACAGAGATCCCGTGGAAAAAGAACTAGAAACGTCAGAGCTTGGCTGATACAGACCTGGTGAGCCAGAGGGACCTGGGCAAATGCAGTAACAGGCATGCTGCCCCTTCCACAGGCCCTGCCCTCCCCGTGTTCCCGCGAGGCCCCGGAAAACCACCCCAGAAAACCGCGTGTCCATCGTTTCACCTTACACAGCGGCAGGGTGGGGCAAGGGGCAGAGAGGGGGGACCTGTGTCTGCGCCCCGCTCCCGTCCCCCGGCAAAGCTCAGTGTGAACTGGATCAAACAACAGCTCGGCTGTGATGTCCAAGCGGCTTTCTCAAAACCAAAGGAAGCACAAACACTGCGGTGTGTCCAGGGCACCCCCGTGGTCATAGTACACAGAGGGAAGGGAAAGGGCCACAACAGGTGAGGCCGGCATAAGTCCTGGGCTGCCACCCGGAACAGAAGCCACGCTCACAGAGGCGGACACAACGCTTTATTGCCCTTCCTCACACGTCCCCATCAGCCGCTCTGCACGGGCTGGGACCCACCTGACGTCACAACTCCGCAGGGCTACCGCGTGGGCTGAGCATCTGCAACTTCCCTTTCTTCCTGAAAACTAGGAGAACTGAGACCAAGTTAAGAAACCTCATTTACAGTCCTCATTTGCCAGTTTCAGGAGGACTGAAACGCAACTGTCCGAGTGTCCATTTGGAAAGGAGTTTATCCTCCCTGGCCAAAGGGACTATCTGCTATGAAAACCCCCTTATCACTTTAAAGATTTTATTTATTCATTTTTTTCCCCCCAAAGCCCCAGTAGATAGTTGTATGTCATAGGTTCGCATCCTTCTAGTTGCTGTATGTGGGACTCGGCCTCGGGTTGGACGGAGAAGTGGTGCCTTGGGGCGTGCCCGGGATCCGAACCCGGGCCGCCAGCATCAGAGCGCGCGCACTTAACCGCTAAGCCACGGAGCCGGCCCCCCCCTTATCACTTTAATGAGTACACATTGACTCCAGATCAGAGGAGCTTTAATTACCAAGAAGCATGGCACTGTGATTTCTTGATTATTAAATTGTAAACTTAAAAATTTTTCCTTCCAAGCACTAGGGATTCTAAAGCAAGCCAACCTGAGACTGTAAAATAATCTGTCTACCTGATCCTCTCTGAGTAAGGACTAATTTTCAGGTCACATAGGAGTCCAGTCCCTACAGCCTCTGAAAAGCCAGAGCAAACACCAGCCGCCTCTCGGTCCCTCCTCCACACAGAAGGAAGTGGAGCCCGGTGGAGGACGAAACATCTCAGGCCAGTCTCCCCCTGACCCCAAGGATGTCACAAGCTCCATCTTTAGGCAGAAAATATCTAACAATTTAAGCACAAAAATAAATTCCTATCATATTCCAAGCTGGACAGGAACGCAGGCCACCAGCTCCACCTGGTGGATGAGGCTGAGCCCACGGCACTGAGCAGCGTCACTTTCTGGCGAGTTCCAGCACCTTCTTCACCATGGCCCCGATCCCATCGTGGATGTGGTGGAGTGCGGTCTCGCACATGAAGGCCGGGGTCGTGACCACCTTGTTTTTCTGGTCCACGTGAGCGTCGTGCACAGAAGTTACGGAAAAACATCACCCCACAGGGACGAGAGGGAATTTTAGGCGTAAAGCACCCACCCTGGCCACTGCTCCCAGCTGCCCTCAGGTGCGTGTTCCGCCTTCCTCCTCGGGGTCATCTGAAATGGGGGGTGTGCCTCCTGGTGCAGTCTCTGCTGACAGGGCCCCACTTTCTGTACTGTCTGCACCACGTAACTGAAAACGTGGAATCAGTTTCTGATCAGCATGTACCCAAGAGGAGCTCATCGTCTCCGAGAAGAGAGCACTGGCTTCACAACACGCTTTACAATATCACGCCACACGGGACCCACGCACACCTGCAGACCAGGACCCCATGCCAGCCCTGACGGCGGCAGCAGCATCTCCCCTTCTCAGATCAAGAAACTAAAACTGAGACTGTCGGAGTGCCCACTGTGACAAGAGAGTAGCCGCAAAGGTCAATCCAACCTGGGACCCACCCTCAACACGATCCAAGCTCTTGCTCGGTCACGCAGACACCAGGCAGTGACAGCATTGGCCTTGCCTCCACCCTAACCAAGATGTGCGTCCTCAGATCCATGCCAAAGGCCCCGGGTCTGCCGGCCCCTCTGCTCCGGAGGAAGATGTAAAATTTACACCTAAAACCACCTGCAAGTAAAGACCCTCAGAGGAGAGAAAGCCACCTTTGACACAGCTGCATCCTTTACGATACCCAAAAGTAACATTGGTTGTCTCTAGCACCTTCTAGAACACAACGCTGTTCTGTTCCACTGACTCTGGCCCACATGGAAATTGTGTGTGTCCAGCTGTGGACCCGGGACATTGTCAGCTTGCTGCCTGAGGCTCTGAATGCCTGCAGTGCTCTGCCACCAGCTCCCAGGCCATCATCTCGGCACGCACAGGACCCACTCGCAGGAGGAACAGGGGCAACGAGGCTGCCTGGGGTCCATACCCATCTGCACTGCTCGGGGGAACTTCCACCAAATAACAACAAAGCCAGGAAGCGCCCCCGCCCCCACTCCTTCCACCTGGGCCTCCATCCTGCCTTGGAGCGCTTGCTCTCTCCCTCCCACAGCAGGCAGCTCCCCAGACCTCCAGTCAACGAGACTGAGGCCGTCTCCTCGCCCCACCAGGGAGCGGGGCTGAGCTCCAGTCCCGGGGTGAGCTGAGCGCAGTGCGTGCCCACTGGACGGGCTTGGCGACGTGGCCACAAGACAGCACAGAGACTCACCCCATCACGTACACGCCCCAGCAGCGCAGTTCCTGGTTGAAGAGGCTGCCCACCCAGGGCAGCCCCACGGGGCCAGGGGAGGGGTGCCCCAGCGCCACACGCCGCCCCCGCTGACAGAAAGGATATGGTCACTCCCGTCACACAGTGCTTGGCGCCCAGGGCCTTGATGGCCTCCGCAGTCCCAGCGTACGGCCACTTGCCGCCTTCTTCCTGCTCGTGGCCCACGGTGACCTCGACGCCGCTGAGCACTCTGGCCGCGAGGACAGGAGCGATGCAGCACAAGCTGAAAGGGGAAGGCCAGGCCAGCTCAGGGCCGTGCGTGTGGACACAGACCGAGGGCGCAGCACGGCAGCCTGAAGGACACAAGGAACCCTGAAAACGAGCACCGACACGGCAGTCGTGGGGGACGGAGGGCACGATGGCACAGCCTCTGTCAGCTCCAAGAGGTGGAGCCTGTCCCCGGAACCTGAGCTGCCCGTGGTGGTTGTGACCAACGGAGGGCGGGGGCGCCGCACCGTGACTTGATCCTCAGCTGCTCCCCCACGTCTGGAGCCTCTGGGCACCGGGTGCCAGACCGGGGCAGCGTCTGGAGGAGAGATGACCCTGGCAACAGAGCTGCTGCGAGACAAGCACCAGGCCACCAGACACGGTGTGCGGGGACGCACAAGTTGACTCGCAGCAAAGGCAGCCGAAGGGGGCAGCTGTCTCAGGCCCGAGTTTTGGGGGTGGCTTGTCACAGAGCAACAGACAACCACAGCTGTACTGACCGGTTGTCACCAGATCCCCTCTTCCAAAGGGGAACACAAGAAGCCAGGGGACGCAGTTCAACCAGCAGGCTCATCTTACCTGCCAGTGCACAGAGGCAAGTGGATGCCTGGCAGCTATGCTGGCCATGGGAGCCAAGGACCCCCTCCCAGCAGAGCGCCAAGCCCCCTACACACCCACGAGCAGGCCGTTCTAGAGGCACCTGAGCCCCGCTGGTTCACCCTTGGTGCACACGCCACCAGGGCTGGGCCATCACCGGCACCTGCCCTCGGGGCTGCTACAAGGGTCTGCTTTTCACCAGGAGGCCCTGCCGCCCAGCAGCTCCTGAGCCTGGCAGTTCAGCCGACACAGACGCCTTCAGGCCAGGCACTGCAGCACGAGAGCACGGGACACCTGCCACAGCAGCTCCAGGCTGGGCCACCCCGTCGTGGAGCTGTCAGGGACTGCCCTCCCCCACCCGGGGTCCACATGCCCTCCCGACCGCACCCCAGCCTCCTCCTGGCCACACCGTCTTCCCACACACCCTCTTCTCCTGTGTCTTTAACAGCACTTACAGGTTTCCCCCGCTATCCCCACCTGGCTTTTACAAAAGACCTACATCAGTGCCTGTTTTGGCCAAATGAAAGAAATCCAAATAGGATTTTCACTTTTACGATAAAAGGCGAAAAGTGAAAACGGCACTCAGCCATCGTTTTGCAGCGAGCCGTTCGAGAGGCTCCACAGTCAAGCAGACTGCAGTGTTTCAGGCCCTCCACAGAGCCACAGCAGATGGGCGCCTCGACCTCCCACACCAGGCAGACACAGCAAGTGCAGCCGACAGTGACCTGCCTGCCCTGGTGGACCAGATGACGAGATGCGAACACACGACCCTCCTCCTCTCTCCGACTGTCCTCCTGGTTCCCGTAAGTGAAGCTGCACTGTACATTCAGGATTCCTACCTTATAAGGCTGTGCATCTATCACATCACTCCTGCTTTCTCTATATGTTAGTAGCGTTATAGGTCTCACGTGTTATCTCTATGATTTGGTACATTATTCTCTGGATCTGGGAACGCTCAAAAATTTTCCCTTACAATTTCATGGTAACTGCTTCTTCATTTTATGCCATTTAGCTTCTGAAAGGTTTCTAGGAACGCTGTATTTCGGGTAGCTGGGGAAACCTGGATCTGGTTCTACTGTGCTGACGTTAACGCCCCGTATTGAAGCTGCTGTAGTAAAAAGTCGTTAAAAATGTATTCATGTACTTACTTAAATGTCGTGACAACTGAAACTACTTCTCAGAAACCTACAAGATGAGATTTCCCTCGGCTACTGAACAGGCAAGTCACTGGAACTGATGTCTCGGGAGCATCCGGAGTTGGGAGACTTCACAGGTACGGGAAGCCCAGTGCAGGACGCCCAGAAATGAAGGCTGTGGCCACCAGCCCTGAGCCAGGTTGTCTGGGCAACCACCTGCTCTGGTCTTAGGCTGTGGACGCTGAAGCAGGCTGCACAGCACGCTCCTACAGAAGCCCCGGCCCGCTCCGCTCCTGCACGGAAGGCAGGGGACACACAGGCCAGGCAGCAAAGCCAGCTGACCCCCCCACTCCCGGCTGTGCTTCTGCTGAGCAGGGTGAGAGTGGGCAGACTGCTCAGAAGGGGAGGCAAGGCACACTGACCTGAAAAGGGCATTTCATGAGTGGCCAGGACAACACTAGTGCTTTTTGAGAGAAAGCCAAGGAAACTGCTATGGGAGGGACTGAACTGAGCCTCCAACAGGGCGGCCGATACAGAGCAGTCTCACGGTCCCTGCCCACCCTGTGGCCCACGGTTAGCGAGGGATGACACTGGCCTTGCTTCCTCTGGGACACACTCAGCTGAGAGACACCTGTTTACGCGAACGGGCAGAATGTCTGCAGGAAAGGGGTCTGTCTGCTCAGCTTCTGTCCTACGTGTTGTCTTTCAGTCAGTCACGAAGGGCCCCAGGTTCCTCCCTGGGCACTCTCCCGCGTAAATGGGTGCTGCTCCAGTGACAGTGTCCTGGGAGGTGAGAGATGCCACACAGCATTGTTGTCAGCCACCCTGACTTCCTCAGCACCAGCTCTTCCGAGCAGGCCCGAGTCTGGGAGGATGGAGGGAGACGGCGTTGTGCACGCAGATGTACTCCCAGGCTACAGACCCAAGGCTGGCGCCGTTAGTGATCGGGGAGCTCCCTGGACCTCAGGTGAGTGACTATGAGGTCTATGACAGATGCTGACTCTCAGCGGGGACTGTCCTTTTCAGCCCCTGTACCTCATTCACACAGGGGGTTCTAACATAACCCTGTTCTTTCTCGGTTTGCCAACAACATGCCAGTAGGCAGCTGTCCATCCGACGGAGGTCAGAGTGGCCTCTCTAGTGCCTCCTGCTGAATTCTGTTCTCAGCTGTCTGTGCACCGCTGGGCTCTGGAGAGGACTTCTCCAACCAGCGATGGACTCCAAGGCCACGCGGTCCACGCGTTCCAGCTCACTACGGGACAAACGACGCACTGCATAAAGCAGGACCGAGGGGCGACTGCTGGGACATTCGTGGGAACGGAAGTCTGACGAGATCAGGCCTGATGATGGGGTCTCCATCCCAGGTCTCCAAGAGTCTCTCCCGGTTGCAGGTTATGGCTGGCCTCACCAGGACCGAGGACCGAGGACCAAGGCTCTGACATGAGCAAAGGCTGTGCCAATGCATGAGTCTGGTTGTGCAGGGGGGTGTGAGGACCCTCATGTGTGGCCGTGTCCTTGGCCTCAGTACCCAGTCCTTGGGCCGTGACGTGTGATCGGTGCATGACTCCAGGAGGAAGGGCAGCTGAGTGACGAGGGGTCAGGAATGCTGCTCACGACAGCAATCAGAGTGGAAATATGAGAGGTAGCTAAGGGGCTGCTCTGAGCAAGGACGGGAAGGTGAGGCCAGGTGAGGGGAAGAGGCACTGGTAAAGGCTGGGGGTGAGGGAAGCTGTGACTAGGGAACCTTCCAGAAGCTGATAGAATCAAACTTTCTCCTTCCTGTTAAGTCACCAAAAAAATAAACGTGACCCACACACTTTTCAGAGTTGGAAGGCACCTGTGAGATCTTGTGAAACCCGCTCAGTTAAAACGAGGAAAGGCCCAGAGTTTCCAAGCCCACACAGCTCACAACTGCTAAGCTCCTGGCTGCCAGCCAGTCCCCTCCACCCCACCACCTGGCCTCAGACCCAGGCCAGCTGTCACTGGGTCCCAAGTGGAGGCCCCCATGTCCCTGCCAGGCCCGCTCTGGCCGTACATACCCAATGGGCTTCCCAGCCTTGTGGAACTCCTTCAGGACGCGCTCCACGTCTTTATTGACTTTGCAATCCTTCCCGTCCACGGCGAATGTGCTCCTGCCAGAGAGAGGAGTCCTCAGACCCCACAGCTGGGTGTCCACTTGCCACCACCACCCAAGCCCACCTCAGAGCTTACGTGTGGTTCCGTCAACTCCTCTGCTTCTGAAATAAGTCACTAATGTGTGTGTGTGCACGTGCGTGTGTGCATATATATACACATTTCTTTGATGTTTTTCAAAACAGAAAGCAGCAGGAAGAGGACAGCAGAGGCAGGAGAAGAGCAGACACCAGAGCAAATGAAAGCCGTGGCTGCTCAGGCCGTGAGCCAGGACCATGCGGTGCTCAGAAGCCGGCTCGGTAAACCAGGAACAGCAAGACATGCAATTGGCCTAAAACCAGTGACAGATACTGCACTCCACTAACAAGGAAAAGAAATGCAAATCAAACCAGACACCATCTATTCCACCGGAGCAAGAGCAGCGGAGGTTTCTAGATCAGTACCCCCCGCACAGCCGGGGGCTGTGTGCCCATGCATCTCTCTGGAAGGCAATCTGGTGAGACCCGTCCAACTTCAGAGAACACCCTCTGCCCAAAGCCCCACTTCTGGGCTTTCCTCCATTCTGTTTATGTGTTCGACTGCTCTATCCTGGGATGTTCGCAGCATCACACACAAAGGACTGGAAACCTCTTGGGGGAGACGGACGTTCACTATCCTGACGTGCTGACGATCTCTCGGGGTGTGTACACACGTCAGAACTTATCAACTTTTACACCTGAAGACATGTACGTCAATTATACCTCCAAAAAGCTATTAAGATAAAAGAGAGGTGGGCCAGCCCGTGGATTAGCGGTTAAGTGCGCGTGCTCCGCTACCAGCGGCCCGAGGTTCGGATCCCGGGCGCGCACCGACGCACCGCTTCTCCGGCCATGCTGAGGCCGCATCCCACATACAGCAACTAGAAGGATGTGCAG